AATGGCAAACACCTTCTGGATCATCTGCCAAGAACGTATATGAACAGGTCCCAGTCCGAGAAAAGGATGGAAGGATCCTGTTCATATGGACCTGTCGTCAGACAGAACACTACATAGACATAATAATGGACTCCCTAGTGTCTAAATTAAATGAAGCTGACATTTCTGGTATGATATGCAAACTCTGAGCCTGTAGTGCATACTGTGTTCGCTGTTACGTACAACTGTTAATGTACGGTGAGTGAGGATTAGTGCAGTGCATGATAGTTGTAAGGTTGCCAAGTTGGGCGGGAGGAGGTGAAGTGTGAAGCCCCTTCTCGACGCACTTGTGAAGCTTCCCAAATCCCCTCAGATGAGGATTTTCATGAATCAGTCCTTCATTGTACATGTTATTGAATTCATGTAGTTCAGTGTTGTGTAGCCTCAGTATAACGTGACAGGAGTACGAAGTATAAACACCCACGTTATAATTAAAATCGTGTCTGTTAAAAAATGGCTGGATTTTAGGAATATTACACTCACATTGGTCACAAAATTTGACATTGATATTAATTACGTATTTATATACTTTTATTACTTGCATGGTATATCAGTCCTAAGATACACATTTCAGTATATATTTCTTTATACATACATATTTCATAATGGTATTGATATGCGACAAATGAAGTTGTTCACAGCCAATTTTCTGTTCTAAACACATTTTTACTTCGTGTATGTTTTCGGTATTTATACATGAGAAATGTTGTCGTTCATTATCCTGTGTTGTTCATTCGGGTGCTCCATTTTTAGGGGTTCATCGTGACTCGGGGGAAATTAAATTATTTGGTTCCAATCAGAATTTAAATGTAATATGAGCAGCATTCATTTAATTTTATTCGGTTTCACTTCATTGTCACCCAACATACTTCTTCCAGAATTATTCTGTTTCAATGCTACCGACTTCAGAGATTCATGAATTTCCAAATATAAATACTACATTACGTGATGCACATTAAATGTATTGATTTTCTTAGAAATGGCTCACTGGGCAAACAAAACATTGACAAAATATATAGGTTCTCTGTTTTGCGACACTTTCCGTGTATAAATTATTTAACAAAATACAAAGAGAAATAATTCTGACTTCTACATTGATGAATATTCATCGCCCTGAAGACGGAGGCAGTATGACCTCTGAAACGTTGGTTAACATCGACCAGACTACACAGCGCAATAACCCAGAAGACAGAAATCTTCATACCCACCGCCCTGATGACGGAAGCGGTATGACCTCCGAAACGTTAGTTAACATCGACCAGACTACACAGCGCAATAACCCAGAAGACAGAAATCTTCATACCCACCGCCCTGATGACGGAAGCGGTATGACCTCCGAAACGTTAGTTAACATCGACCAGACTACACAGCGTAACAACCCAGAAGACAGAAATCTTCATACTCACTGCTGTGAAAACCTCAAATGTTAAAAAAAATTAATTGTTGCCCAAAAGATTTTGGTCAACAGCGAATGAATATCTGTGCCACTGAGGTATGTGAAGTCACAAAGGCAACAAGACTAGAAGCCCTCATGGCGACTAAACAAAATAAAATCCTCTTGGACAGCAAGCCATGTTAATACTGGACCGAAGTTTCCGTCCAAAACTGAAGCGACTTATTGCCAAAATGATTTTATCACAAAGACCACATCTAGCAAATATGCGCACTCCAATTAGCTACAGAGTTTACATAGCTTCAGAGAAGACGTGAAAATCATTATGATTGATTAATTAAGGAAAACTAGAATATGATGGCTTGTTTCAAGGGACGTCTTGGCATTCACATGGAGTGACTGAAGAAAATCACATAATCAGGGCAGGTGACCCCACAGCAAGTTGAATGTAGTCTCATTGCCTCAGATTCATTTATGAAATGTTTAAACAACCATATATCAAATACGATCGCCATGGTGGTCTAGCGGTTAGAACGCTGGCCTTGTAATCCTGGGATCTCGGGTTTGATTCCCGGCTGTGCCCGAATTTATTACTTGTGTTGGGCAAGGCAACACGGAGTTTTCCTCTGTGGCATCCCAACAATTACTCCATTCACACACAGAAGAAGGCAATGGCAAACCACTTCTGGATCATCTGCCAAGAACGTATATGAACAGGTCCCAGTCCGAGAAAAGGATGGAAGAATCCTGTTCATATGGACCTGTCGAAGTGTGTTCAATATCTTGTTTGTCTGATTTTGTTAATATACACAATGGACATAAATAGTGGGCACGGTGGTTTGTAACTTAAATGCAATATAATAAAATATATAAATAGATGAAGACTACAAAGCAGGGTGGCGAAGTGTTAACGCAGAATTATATTTGAGTGGTGCCTATTTATTCTGAGTGAAGTAAATTTCTACCAGACTACACAACGACGTTTAAGAGGTGCTTGCTGCCTCTATTATCAGGGTAATGAGTACCCTGGTGATTATTATTATTATTATTATTTTTACCTGGGAATTGGGATTTTTCCCATTATGAAAAAGTTATGAGATCTTGTGGCCAATGCGAGTCGAAAAGGTTCTTAATCTTTTCTCTGTGGAATGTGACGTTTGGATCTCTGTTTTTAAGCATCTTGATTTTCATGAGGCATTAAGTTTCTCACCAAAGAGAGACATTTTAAAATACCGTTTATGTTATGAATTTTTATAAATCTTTACGAAAGTCTTACTTCTGTTTCATGGCTCTGTTTTTCTCAACTTCGCAGGAAAATCTTTTAAACGTGCATGAAGTTTTTTTTTATTACAGCTTTTATCTCGAGCTACAAAAATAATTAATATGGGACCCACGGCCCGTCTCGTACGTTGCCGTGCCTTGTCGTTAAATCCAGATGTCATTTAGTCTATAAATATAAGTTTTGGCATAATAACATTTGAAGTCTACACAAATGACCTACTTTATTACTGGAAGAAGTAGAAAGTAAGATGCAATATTTAGGCACCGTGGCGATTCCTTGCCAGAATAACGCGGGCAATTTTTTTTTGCGAAGTTTAAAGACAGCAGATCTCACCTTTTACTCGAAGTGTCTCCAAATTTAATTCTGGAATTTGCTCTTCTGATATTTCTTTGTTTTCCTTCTGCCAGTTTAACTCTTTAAAGCCAAATGGTAACTATATGTACCACTTGTTTTAATAATCGGTAACTCTGAGCTTTGTATGTATGGGTTTCGTATGATTCTGTAAACGGGGATAATTTCCTTAAATAACATTAACCAGTTGATCATTGTAATGGTGAAGTGTAATGTTTTCTTTGCGGTATGGACTAAGTTATAAACTACTATTTAAATGAGCTTCGGTTTCAAAACCTCAAGTTCTTCGCCCACCGTTCTGTCCATAAAGCTCACTACAAATATGCAAATTTTACGGCTATAGAAATAAGCAAATAAACTTTTAGTTCACTATCTATACAATACGCCAAATGTTTTCTAAGACAGTCGTGCAAAACGTGTAGGTACTTAAGAAATTGCAGTAAAAAAATAATCGACTTGTCGTCTTTAAGTAAAATTCTACTACGTAAAAGATATTTTGAATGTCAGTAATAAGTCTACAGCTTACGTTGTGCTCTGAAAAATCGATCAAGTTTTTCCAGATGTTATGTAACCCCGAAGATCCAATTCTCTCACCACAGAAGTCTGCCATTCGAACATATTCTGAGTCTGTCTTATCCAAATTACATCTTGTGTCTTTGTCTCAAGACCTGTTTCAGTATTTTTTGTATGTTTTGGTCTCCTAAGTATGATCTTTCCGTGAGGTTATCCAGCTAATGTTTTTATAATTTCTATTTTTCTTGTGAATGTTATATATCAGGGCACTAACTATACCGATGAGGGAAATTTGATTAAATTGAAATAGTGTTGTGTGTTCCTTATTACTTTATTTTCAGTCCGTCGTATCAGAGCAAGAAACACGGTACATAATTTAAGAGCTTTGAGAAATCACATTGTTGAACTTTGTATTGAAATTAGACTACATTGGACATGTATAGGACAAATAAATGAAAAATCAAAATACGTATTTATACCAAGTTAGACTCTACTAGTGGTGATTTATAAGCAAATCAAGCCCCTTCAGGGGACACAAAGGAGCCAAGAACTAGGCTATATTGATGCTCTGTGGACCGCGTCTGGATGCTGCGAGATCAATACGGTAGCTACGAGAGTGTTTTCCCAGGCATCGAGAGCTGAAGGCGGTAGGGGACAGACGTCGCGTTCAAGTGGTGTTAAAAACACAGAGCTTCGCCAGCTGTCGTACGTGGCCCGCCTTTACCTCAGAGTTCAGGTTGTTCTTTTAAAGAACCACGTCTCTACAGGTCACCGAAACTAAGAGATTTTCGATGCATTCAAAACCACGTGTGAAGAAGCCGTTTACGGGAGTTGCAAATGTTTCGAATCTTGAATAATTCATGTATAAAATAATAATTGAACGCAGACTTTAGAATTATTTTGTTTCGATGTACACGGAGTCGAACGTATCTTCGCTGAATATTGACATTTTAAATATTTTTATGCGTTGAGACTCGCGTATAATATAAATATTTTACGGAAATTAAAACGCCTTGTTTTCCAATTCATTTTGAAGTAAAAGATATTTATCGCAGTTTACAAGAGTTTGTTGAGTTTTAAGATTTCCCACTATGGATTACTTCCTAATAATGACTAAAGAAATAATTCAGGAACGTTTTTCTGTCAGTACTACCAAAAGAAGAAACATTTAACTAAAGATTAAGACCATTTACATTTGTCTATTATGTTTACAACCAGATTTACGTATATGATTGGCGGTGTTTAAAAGACGATTATACAACGTGATCGTTTGACAACCACAGCTGCTTTCGATTGTCGCTATCATGACAGTTCACCGGAAGTGTTAACAACGCTATTTTTTACTGATGGGTCGGATGAGATCTTTGCTGAGTGGCCTCGTATACTGCAGTTTCTGGTACGGAAGCATCTGCTCCGGTTTCCTGTTTCTTTATTGCCCGTTGTTGCCACTCCTGTTCCTGCACCAGAAGCTCTTCAGACAACTCACAGATCTCGTTTTTGCGGCGTGGGAAGTCTATCCAGCAGTAAGTACAGTGTGCTCCTTTCTTAGGGCACTCTTAATAAATACTGTATTGCCCTTTTTTGACGGTGTATTATCAGAATGAGAAATTTCCAGTTTATAAAGGACCTTGTGTATTTATTAATATATGTATTGACTGCTTATGAATATGATGTGCGGAGTTCACTTCCCTGTAGGTGTGTTAACATTTGTATTCTCATTCTCACGCCATAATGACTCCACGGAGACAATATTGATTAGCACGAAGCTGACAAAACTCCTCCATCTAATGCTGTAGTTCCCCAAGAAAGATTTCAAATTCAATTTGCATTTCTTAAGTAGTCTAGCTATGCCATATCTCAGACTGCTAGTTGCTGACTTTTCATCATGGAGGCCCAGGTTTAAATCCAAGTAAAATTCGTGATGTATGAAATGACATTGGAGTAGATTTCCTTTACAGGTTCTAATTTGAGGAGATACAAGGTAGTTCTTAATTCATATCAAAATGGCAAATTGTATGTCGTTGTTAGTCTCAGTAATCTAATAGACTCCTGTAATAAATAATCTAAATGAATTTGTTTATGCCTGTTCTGTCATAATTAAATATACATATCATGTTCTATACATTGATTCTGATATCAAAATACGTATACAATAAAATTTATATAGAATAGTAAAATCAATGTGGTAGAAACAAAAAATGTATAATGAATTTTGATTGGGGCAAAACGTCCTGGAAAATGACTGCATGGTTGAAAAAAGAAGATGATGGAAGGACAATATTTTAAAAGAATCTTAACAAAATAGATTGTGAGACTGTGAATTGTAACATGAAATAACAATATTAGATTACCCTGTATCACGTTAATATTTTCACAGGCTCTACTGGAATGTCTGATTGGTACGCGAGTTGTAGTGACAGGTGATGCAATCCTTCCTCATGATCGAGCGCTGATTGTCATGAACCATCGCACACGCCTCGACTGGAACTTCTTATGGGCAGGCATGTTCCACGCTTGCAAGCCACTTGCACATCGGATAAAGATGGTGCTTAAGGCGTCTCTCAGGCATATTCCTGGAGCAGGTAACATTTTAAGCATACAAATTTTGCAGTCCCTTAATAATGTCGGCACTGTACTATAGCCACAGTGAAATATTCTGATACTTATTAGTGTTAGTGAGTGTAATATAAGTACCTTAGATAATTGCTCATTTTTAGTTACTGTTTAAATCATAAGTATACCTCTTTAGGTTGGGTCATGCAGATGAATTGCTTTCTGTACATACACCGACGTTGGGAACGAGACAAAGCTGTCCTGGAGAAGACTCTTGACTACTTCCGAGATATTGGTCATTCCTGTCAGGTCTGTCATTGATAATGTGTGTCATGTCTTTAATTAAATTTGCACAATATTAAATTCCTATTAAACTATTGTCATTGAAACATAGCAAAACTACGTTTCTATTTTTGCATGTGTTTTGTCCTTAATATATGACAGAGAGAAATAATTGTTATGCCTTTTTTTAGTAGGAAAATTTTCTTTTATTACTTTCACCAGATTTTATGAATACAACTGCCCACATTAGGTGACTGGTTAGCACTCCTGTTCCATATTTGGAAGGTGTTGTTCAAATCTCAGTGCAGAGACTGGCTATATCTAAGGGTTTTCATGGTTTTCTGAACTACAACAATAACATCAACATAGGATGATTCCACTTAACAGAATATGAAATTAACTCATAAAGTATATTCATTATTTGCAGATCCTACTCTTCCCAGAGGGCACGGATCTGACCGCTGGGAGTCGACAGCGCAGCCACCAGTTTGCATTTGCTCATCAGCTGGAACGCTACTACCAGGTGCTACACCCAAAGACAACAGGATTTGTATTCCTGGTGCAGAGGATGAGGCAAAGTAATTGATTTTCATTCAATTTTATTTCCTGTGTTGAAAAATAGTTTTATTAATGAAAACTTTGCACATACATTCATAGCAAATTTATATTACATCCAATTTACAAATTATTGTTGACATTAAAGTCTGAGTGTACAAGGTGTGGTTTGTTGCACAGCTCACTATAAAATATGACCATAAAATGTTCTTGTCCATGGGTACTCATGGCTGAAGTTCAATGTGTAACTCTGGCTTTTAGGTGAGACCCGAAGTTATAGATAGTAAAATGTTGTGAAATACATTGCACTATATTGGTGAACAGAAATAATTGTGGATGGTGTAGTTATTTTTTTATATATGACTATTATTGTGGGTGGTACTCACTAAAATTTAGTGAACTCTCTTTGATTTTGAATGTCATACATATCCACTTCTTTTATGAAGATTTCCGTCTTCTGGGTTGTTGCGCTGTGTAGTCTGGTCGATGTTTACCAACGTGTCAGAGGTCATACTGCCTCCGTCTTCAGGGCAACGAGTATGAAGATTTCTGTCTTCTGGGTTGTTGCACTGTGTAGTCTGGTCGATGTTTACCAACGTTTCAGAGGTCATACTGCCTTCATCATCAGGGCGATGAGTATGAAGATTTCTGTCTTCTGGGTTGTTGCGCTGTGCAGTCTGGTCGATGTTTACCAACGTGTCAGAGGTCATACTGCCTCCGTCTTCAGGGCAACGAGTATGAAGATTTCTGTCTTCTGGGTTGTTGC